ACCCCACCCCAACCCCAACCCCAACCCCAACCCCACCCCCAACCCCAACCCCAACCCCAACCCCAACCCCAACCCCTTTTCCAACCCCTTTTCCAACCCCTTTTCCAACCCCTTTTCCAACCCCTTTTCCAACCCCTTTTAACCCCATTTCCAACCCACTTCCAACTTAAATCCCGACCCAAATAACAATTCCTACCGATACCAAACTATAAATATCTATCTAAATATATTTATATACATATAAATAAATATTAAATATTTTTTATAAAGATATAAATTCAAATATAAAAATATTTATAAACATACAAATACATATGTATATATATTTAAAAATCTTTAAATATATTATAAATATTATTTATTAAATATATTCATTAATATTTAAATATTTTATATATTTTTATTAAACAAAAGTAATAATTATTATATATTTATATTTTTTATTTATAAATTGTCTATAATATTATTTAATATAAATTTTTATTTAATTAAGATTTTACTAATATTTTGCTGCTTCATCTAAACTAGTCTATATAAAAAATATATTCATATACATATAATAAACTTAAATTCTATTATATTTATTGGTTAAATTTAAAATTCCATTTATAAACAAAATAAAAAAACTTCATAATTATAATTATTTTATAAATTTATTTTTAAACAAATTAATTGCAGTAAATTTGCTATAATTATTTAATTACTTTTTTTTTTTTATTATTAAAATTTGGATAGTATTTTTATAAAATGCATTTTTTTTTATTTTAATCAATTATATGAAAATAAAATTATTTATTATATTATATCATAATAATATATATAACTTTTTTTGATATAATAAATAAAAAAATTAATTCATCAATTATAAATTTACATAATAGGTAAAAGTAATCATATAAATTGAATGGAATAAAATTTTTAACTATTTTAAATAGAGCATGAACTAATTGTAAGAAAATATAAGCATTTAGGGATAATTGGTAAAGGAAAGGATTTTATTAATGAGCTTCCATGTACAATTCATTTATTAGAAGACAAATTTGGAGACAAAAAAAAGCGATACTTGATGCAATAATTTACATAATTAACCTCCAATATATTGAAACAGAAAATATCCAATATTTATAAATCAACATTTTAATTTTATATAGGAAATTGGTTTCAAGCATTCGCATACTCAGTAAAATATATTTATAAAAATGTATCAGATTTAACCATTTTATATTAAATTCCTGAAGAAAACTATAATTTATAAACATTAGAATCTTTAATATAAAATCGAAAAAAATCCAACTAACCATTTTCAGAAAATGAAATTCTAAATTTTATATATGAAATAGCTGAATTTTTATATTTAGGTTCTTGTTAAACTTCTGAATATTTAGACATTAATACTTCAAATATATATATCAATTAATAAGAATAACATTTAATAAAATATAATATTTCAAATTGTGGACTAGGTTTTAAAACACTAAACAAATAATGCAGAAATTATAATTGTCCTTCTGATACTTTTTATACATGCAAGGTAAGCGAAAGAACATTACATTAAGGACTTCGTTCTATTATTTTTATTTTAGGAATGATTTCACTATAAATGGCAACTCTTTAAAATCCTTAAGTATATTATAATTTTGAAGGTAAAAGTATAAGAGAAGATTCTATTTTAAAAAAGTTAGATGAAATAAAAAAACAGAAAATTTTTTCAGAAAATTTTATTTAATTATTGAATTAAATGCTTTAAATAAAAGAAGAAAGAAGAATTTTTTTAAATAGTCTCTTCTCAGAAGAAAATATAAAGCTTTTTAAAAGAGAAAAGCAATTTTCTTCAATAAAAATAAACGAAAATTATTATAAATTTGTAGGCATGGTTGATAAATAAAAAAAACCTAATGGAAATGCAGAATTAGTTTATGGAAATTTTTCAGTTTATAATGGGCTACTTAAAGAAGGAAAAAAAGATGGAAAAGGAATTGTTTTACATGAAAATAATTAATTTTTTTTTTTTTCAGAATGGTAAAATGATGATTGCAATAATGAAGGTATTCTTTATTTTAAAAATCCTTAAAATGTCATTTATGTAGGAAATATTTAAGTATAAGAAGGAAGCTATTTATAAAATGGAATGGGGTGTCTTATTTATAATTCGGCTTATATTCTATAACATGGAGCAAGTTCACCTATATTTTTCGAAGGAGAATTTAAAGAAGGGTAAAAAAAAAAGGAACTTAATTTTACAAAGATGGGTATAAATACGTTGGTGATTTTAAAAATGGTTTGAGAAATGGATAAGGAACACTTTTTTGGCCATAAAATTTTAAAAGTTGGGAAGGATTTTTTGTTGATGATGAAATGCATGGAAGTGGGTAAATGAAATTTGATGAATAAAACTAAATTTAAATTATTGAATTTTCAAACGGAATTGAAATAAAATAAAATGCATAAAAATAAAAAACATAATAAGAAAAATAAATTTTATATTAAGATGAAAAAAATGATAATTAATAAGATGAAAATAAATTAAAATTAAATTAAATAGAAAATTAAGAGGAAAAATAAGAAAAAAATTTAAAGTAAAATTAAAATAATCAAGAAAATTAATAATTTAAGGATATAAATAGAATAAATAGAGATTAAGAGAAATAATAAAAAAATGATTAATAATAGAACAAATAATAAGAAAATTATTAATAAAAAAGTGAATAATAAAACAATAAATAATAAAAAATTGAAAACTAATAAATAATATAAAAGGAATAAGAATAATAATAAAATGATAAGAAAATAAATGAAGAGGAGGAGAATAAATAATAAAAATAAGATTAACAAAAAGAAAAAGAATAAATAAAAGATATTCAAAAAAATGATTTGTGAAAATATTAATAATAAAAAAATATAAATTATAATCAAAGATGGATTTTAATTTAAAAATAATAATAATATTAAAAAAAAAAATATTATTTAAAAATATTTATTTAAAAAAAAATATATTACAAAAATAAAAATAAATCTATAATAAGAATATTAATATAATGAAAAAAATAAAATAATTAAAGTATAAAATTAATAAAAAAAAAATTATTATATAAATGATGAATAAAATTATTATAAAAAAAAATAAAATACAATATATATATATATATATATATATATATATATATATATATATATATATATATATTAATAATAATAATAATAATAATAATAATAATAATATTAATATTTTAAAATATTTAATTAATTACAAATATCATTATTATTTAATTTTTAAATAAAATAATTTTAAATATTATATTAAAATTATAAATATAATTATAATTATTTGATTATAATAATATATTTTTATTTAAAATCTAATATTATATTTTTTTTTTATTTAAAGTATTTTATATTAACTAATTTTTTTATTATTTATATATTTATATTATTTAATTTTTTATATATTTTTTATTAAAATAATGTACTTTATATTAAATTTTATTTATTTTATAAAATATTAATTTGAAAATAAATATTTTAATTTAAGAAGTAAAATATTTTAAAATTTTATGAATATTTAAATACATAAAATAAAAATTACTAAAAGTTTATTAATGTGATATTTTTATTTCTAATATTTATTAAAAGATGTATTTTTTAATTATTTATAGTAAAATATAATAATTCTAGGGTCATCATTTAATAGAGGATAAAGTTGAAATAATAAAATAAAAAAACATAAATATTAGTTAACAAGATGAAGAAGATTAATTATATTTAATAATTAAACTAATAAGTATTATTGACCGATGACAATTTTATGTTTGATATTTTGAAAAAAATGTTAAATTAAACCATTAATAAATTGATTATTAAAAAAATAAAAATAAAAAACGAAAGTTAAAAATTATATTTATTTCATAAACCATTTACAATAATTAAATATAAATTTAATATCTTAATCATTCTTTACTATTAAAAAAGCTAATTTATTAAGAATTAATTGACTTATTTATACTATTAATTTCAATATATTTTTTCTAAACTTGTATATTATGCAAATGTTATTTTTTTTTAATTCGAAATTCTCCAAATCTTTTTTATCTAAATTACATCCACAAAACTATTTATGGCAAATACATTTTCCCACAGAATATAATCTGTTCTAAGGATATTTTTAGTCATAAGATTTGACTATTTATTGAACAATTTCCTTCATTTTGAAAATTTCTTTATAGTTGCGATTTTTAAGATTATTGCTTATACACTTTGGGTCCATAATATCAGAAGAGCTTCTATTGAATTATTCGGATTTATTATTATTGTTTTCTTGTTTCAAATTACTACCTATTGCATTTAAATTGCTTGACTTATTGTTCAACTAATTATTGGAGTTTTCTAAATTATCAATGTCATTGTAACTTTTAATATTATTCATTGTATAAAATTTAAGCGAAACTTCGGATTTTTAAGAATAAGGTTGTTCATTTTCCTCATCTTCCTAAATGTTTTATTTTTCATTTTAAATAGCTTTTTTTAAACAATATCTAGCAGTATAGGAGTTTTATTTAAATTTTTATAGAGGAATACTAACATTTTATTATTTTTTAAAATCAAGTTAACGAGGATTTATTTATAACCAAATTGCACTTTTTTTCTCTTGTCTTTTTAAATCGACAACTAAGTCTTTTTATTCAGAATCCATAGCACTTTATTCAATACTGGATAGAATCTAATTTTTATTTATTTTTTTGAGTATATTAATCCTAAAATTCATATTTTTTTATAAAATCTTTCTCATATTTTTCGCTTACAAAAGTTAGTTATTAAGTTTTTTTTGTAATTTATTTTAAACATTTTAATTAATTCTTTTATATTTTACATGCAAATTTAATTTTTTATAATTTGTTAAATTTTTTTTTCAAGTTTTTGATTTTCTAGAGTTTTTGAAAAATTTTCTTATTAACAAAATTCAATTCTGAATTTTGATGGAGTTGTGCATTAATAAGAATTTCCCAAAAATTTCAAATTCTAATTTTTTATTTCATTTTTAGGAAATTCAAGATATTCAATGATGCTAGAATTTTTATCTTATTAAGACGAATAATTTGAATATTTTAAATCATTTTTTGAAAACATTTTTGTTTATTACAAAGCTTTTTACCAATTTACAAGTTTTTACAATTTAGGTCTTTTTATATAAAACTATTCTATAGCATTTAAATAATTACATCTTCCTTTAGTCACTTTCATATAATCAGTTTCTATGCGTTATGCTTCTGAACTTACGGTAAAAGATTCATTCATTTTAGCATATTTTCTATTAGAATTATGATAAAAGTTATTCGATAACCTTCTAAGAGGGGAAAACTAATAATCTTATAAAGACATATTTAAGACATTTTTAGTATATTTATTTTTTATTTTATTTGAATTTTGTTTTTCTAATAATCTTACTTTTCTCATTATTTATTTCCATTTAGTATTATTTTATATACTTTTTGGGCTATTTGAAATTTTATGGTTTTTTAATTTTTTTAACATTTTATGCCTTTCTAAATCTTTTAAATAATTTATTCTTTGTTAAGTTAATTTCATATAACTGTCTTTTACCCTTTTTTATAATATTTTATTTATATCATTTATAATACTATTTTAGTTAATTTTATTTTATTTTGATTTTTCTTAGTTTTTTAGAATCTATTTATTATTTTATAATTATTTATAAGTCTTATTTTTATTTTCTGGTTTTTTAATATTTAAGTATTATTATTAACTTAATTTTTAATTGTTTTCTTGATTTTCTTAAAAATTTTTATTATCATATTATAAATCTAAATAATTTTGTTTAAAGTCTTAAGCATCTTATTATTCTTAGTTCTCTTAGTAATTAGAAATATTATTTTAAAGTTCATCATAATCTTAATATCTATTGTTTTCTTAATAATAATCATCATTATTATAATTATCATCATTATACTTTTACTTATTTATTAGTTCAAAATCAAATAAAAATTATTATTAAATTTAAAGATCATATTCTTCATCGTCATATTTTTGATATTGATCTTGGTCTTCATCTTGATCTTGATCTTGGTCTTCATATTCCTCATCCTATTCATCTTCATCTTCATAATCTTAATTAAAATTTTAACCCATAAAAAGTTAGTTATTTTATTAGTTTTAAATATTTATATTAAGATCATCAAGTAAATTTTCATCAGAATTAAACTATACAAACAAATCTAACTATCTAGCAGATTTTTAATCAAACACACTTGGCTATTTAGAATTAACTTATGTTTGTAATCTTTTAATTTCTTCTTCGATTTCTTCATCATTTTAGAAAATATTCTTATTTAAAAATTCGCTGTTTTCATTTAAATTTGAATCAGATTTGGAATTATTTTCGCTTTAAATTAGTTATTAATTTTATTTTGAAAATTGTTTATTTTCTTCTTCATCACTCATTTTTATTTAATCTTCAATTTTTTTTAAATAATTTTCGATTTCAGAACTATCTTTGTATTTCTTTTTATCACTATGGCTGTACTTTTCGGGAGTTAAAGGTATTTATTAAATACTTTTTTTCATTTCGCTTCTTGCGAAAAACTGTTCTTATTAAGATTATTATTTTTTAGTAAACTTTCTTTTTAAGTTCTACATTATTTATTCTAATTAAACTGTTTATTATTGATAAATTTGTTATTATTTTTAAAATTTCTCATCTGATAATATTTTAACATTTCCTTATTTTTAATTATCTAAAAAAAAATAAAAAAAATTAAATAAAAAAATATTTACCAAAATCATATGATTATTATGCAAAACAATTATTCTTTATTATATCATCCTATTATTATTAATAATCTAAAGCTTCAATTTAAGTGTTTCTTATACTTTCTTAAAATTTTGTTCCTTATTCTCTTAAAATTTTCTTCTTTTTAAAATATTCAGAAAATTATTAATTTGATATTTAATTTTTTTAATTTAATTATTATAAATTTTCATTTTAAAGTATTTATTTTTGACTTTGTTTTTAAGGATTAAGTTCAATTAAATTTTCAGATAAAAAATTACATTAAATATAATTTTAAGAAAAATTATGTTCGCTATTTTTAGAAATTATAGATTATTCAAGCTAAAAATCTTTACATTCTTCAAATTAATTTTCTTATTTTTTTATTATTAAATTGTTATCATTATTAAAATATTATTCTAATTATTTTTAAATTTATAAACTATATATTTATTTTTTATATTTTTATTATATATACTTTGATATTCGGATTAAGATTAATTTAATAAAATTTAATTATTAAGAAAATCTTAATCTATAATTAGGTTTTATTCATTATTTTAATTATGAAAATTCATATATTATATTTTATTTTATAATTCATTTTTATCATTTTTTAATTAATGTTACTATTATTTATAACTTTCCTATAAATTTAATTTTTAAATAT